AGCAATTCAAATTTTGATGATTTTTGTAAAGAATATTATTGTTTATACAATACTTCTGGATTATTTGATATTATGATGACATAACAATTTAAAATTGTAAACTTAGAATACTAGTTATTACAAGTAAATTAGTTTATTGTTTGGTGCTTATAAAAAAAGTTTGCATGAATAATAACAATTATAATAAAACATATATTTTTAGTACAAATTATCTGGTACTAGTTTTCAAATTTACTTATTTTGAAATTTTACTCTAGCCTAAGATAGACATTGAATAACTTAGAATTAGTCTTCAAAAACAGTATATTATGAACCATGTTTTGATCTAACTGATTTAACTGTTTTTTTTAGAATATTGACTACATTAGAAAATAACCTTTCAGAGGACACAAAAGTGGCTAGGAATAGAAGATATTTACATGTCAAAGTTGCCAAATTTGGATAATCTTTTTGGTTTGTGTACCACCAAGTAAGAGGATTATATATTTTATAAAAAGGTTTATCAATAAAATATTTATTCATTTGCATTACTTTTTCATATTATTCTAATTCGTTATTTATAAGATAATCAGAAGTTTCATCATTATAAAAATAGTCCATTTCAGTTTGTGCTAAAGTATTAGTAGTTTCAGTAACATTTATCATGTCAGATAAAAAATCCAAAACTCTTTTTTATTTTTATTACTAACAAAAGATAAATTTTTAAACTGAGAATCCAAATAAGAAGCAATATAAGCTTTCATTGGAAGTGGTTTCCAGTGAGAAGATATAGAATCCTCAATTAGTTGACAAATATTTAAAATTTTAGATAAAGTAAGTGATGTTTTTATATGATGCAAATGTGAAGATAAAAGTAAAATAGTAGAAAGCATCATACTAAAAGTAGGATATTGTACACTGCCAATTAATTTTGTTAACTGAGCAAAGAGTAATAGAAGCAAAATTAATTCATCTAATTCTTTCTATTCTGATTCTAAAAGTAATTTTTCATTTAAAATTTGCCTATTTTTTCTTTGTTGTAAATCAGGATGATAACACAAAGATTTTGCTAGTTGTTCTGTAGCATTTTTTAATTAAACTGTTCTTTTTAGAACAAAATAAGAAGAGTTCCATTAGATTTTAACATCACAGATAGGTTCTACAATAGATGTCTTTTTTTTTGCTTATTTATTTGACTGTATTAATGTTAATTGTGTTAGTAAATCATCATTATCTGATTCTGAATTATTATCTTCTAATAATGGCTATTTCAAATTTTCAAACTCATCTGCAGATAGTTGATTAAATTCATTTTGAATATTGCAAAGACTTTACAATATCAGTCTCTTTTTACCAGCCAGGTGTTTAGTTTTTTTGCTTTAGTTAAAAGGTTATCACATGCATTAAAACCATTTTTAATAGCCAACTGAATTGTATACATTGTATATTGAATATAAGATGTTTCAAGAAGATGCATTCCTTTAGCAATTGATTTGTCACTATCTGTAGTTTCTCTAGTCAATTTATTACATATGTTCCAATGATCAAAAAATTTTTGATAAAAATTGTTCTTGATGTTCTCCTAAGTGTAAATATGAAAATTCTTTAATAGTTAAAACTGCTTGATATAAATTAAAGTTTTTTGAAAGCCAATGAATTGTCATATCAATATAAGACTGATGCATGCTTGTCCACATATCTGTGGTAAAAGAAAAGGTTTTCATCATTTCAGTTATTAAATTACATAATTGATTTTTAGCAAAAAGTAAACATTCTTTAATTTTTGTTTTAATTCATGCTTAGCCAGAAATTTTAAAATGAGGGTTTATTTTATAACAAAATTGATAAAATTTTTGACTATTTACAACAGTTATAGGTTAACAGTCTTTAACAATCTATACTATTAAATAAAATACTAATTTTTCTTGTTTGGCAGGTTTATAAGAATCTATTTTTAATAACATTGAAGGTATAGTTTGAATAAATTTATTTGATTGTATTATTGTTTGTTCTTGTAAGTCTTTTTTTATATTGTTTACTAGAAAAAATTTAATAAATTGTATTAAGATGTTCATCAAGATGTGTTATTGAAGTTGTGATACTAAAAGTTCTATTACATTTTTTGCTATTTTCATCTAATATTGTAATTATATCAATGTAACTTGTTTTTTTAACTTATTTTTTATTATATAATCCCAAACCCAACTAATATTTGGTAATCTTACATTAGATTTTGCAATAGTATTTGATAATATTTCAATAGTTGAAGCTTTTAATAATTGGTCAAAATTATTTTAATAATTATTTTCACTTTCACATAATTCATTAAATTGCTCTTAAGATTTATGTTGAAGTAAAATATAAAGTAATGTAGATGGAGAAGATGCAATACTATAGGATGATTGATTTAAAAATCATCTTCACTTTCATTTTCAGTAATTTGTACTAATTTTTTAATTTTTTGTATTTTTTTAGACCTAATTTCAGATAATTCAATATCATCTACATTTAACTGTTCTAAAAGATTAGGAGCAATGCAATCTTGCATTTTTTCTTTACTTTAAAAATGAGTATTATGTTTTTTTATAAACATTATAAAACAAAAAAAATTGTAAAAAGCAATAACTTATTTAATTGATTTATTTGTCTTAAATGATAATTAAGTTTTTTTTATTTAAATATAAACACTCAGCCAATTATTTTTTTTTTTAAATATTAAGGTGAGTACTTGTGACCCAGAATTTTATTGATAGTATATTTGGCTAATGATTGCATTACAACCACAGAGGGCAACTATGCGAAGAGTGTACAACTAGCCACTCGTACAACTTTAGTCATTGTCTAATTTAAGTAGTCCACCTGAAGGTTCTACACTA